ATATTTATAAGAGCATGGTTGATTTGCCAAAGTGTATTATTGTTATGTGTTAGATGATTAAAGTATATCATCTATAAGTATTGCATGTATAGGTTGGATTAGGATTAATTAGATATTCTTAAATTAGAATAGTCTAATACTTTCAGGATAGTGTATTACTTTATACATATTAACAAAATAATACTAGTGGTGACATGGATGATTTGTCAAAGCCTAGCGGTGTGATGTAAATACTTATAATCATTATTGGTTTTGGAAAATAAATATAAATGATGGATTTAGTCTAGGTATGATTGATAATTAATCGTTGGTGATTGGTTTCAACAAATTTAGTGAACCTATTAATAGATAGGATTATTTTATTTATATATAATTATTTATATAAATTTGTATCATCTTATATTAAAGGTTAAAACTTTAATTGGGATGATTTTGGTTAGAGATGCTTTATTTATTGGTTTTCAGAGGCTTGGTAGAGGGAACTTGCTCGTGGGTCTAACCCACGATTTATTTTTCAGGTTATTAGAAGTTCCAGTCTCGAGGTTGAGGATCCGCAACTGGGAGACTGTCATTCATCTACTCATCTTGTTTACCTTTAATTAGTATAGTTAATTATTGTTAAATGTTTTGTATAAACTGGTGGTTTATAAGATTTTGGTTTAGGGGTCCTTAACTTATGGGATTCCTGAGTTGTATAATATTTTCAGAATTTGAAACTCATGGAAATATTTTTGTAAAAGAGATTTAATTTTATTAATAGAATTCCATTCAGCGATTTAATCATTTTTTTTTATTCCTCTTGTATTCTGTATTCGTTTAAGTACTATATTGTTTTGATATTCTCGCATTTTCGGGTGTGGACCTGGCCAGCCTACACGTGGAAATGTGGGGGTATCACATGGATGATAGTGTTCTATGCAAAGAATTTTCACTCATGCTCTTATAGAGACACCACACGTCATCCTCATGCCTATCAATGTATGAGCCACCCATGGAAGCATCAACCATGCCCTTATAGTTGTCCGATAAGCTCTCAAAGAAGTATTGAACTAATTGCCATTTGGGTATATCATGATGTGGATACTTCCTAAGCAATTCATTGAAGCGTTCCCGTGCCTCATGAAACGTTTCTCCATCCCCATGCGAAAATTTTCGAATTGAGGTCCTCATGGCATTGGTCTTAGAAACCGGATAGTACTTCTTCAAGAACTCTTGTTGCATTTCTGCCCAAGAAGTAATTTGAAAAGGCCTAAGATTGTTAAACCAATACTTTGTCTTGTCTTTTAAGATGAATGGAAAAAGTTTGAGTCTTAAAACCTCTTCCGGCATGTCTGTATATTTTACGGTGGAACATACTTCAAGAAACTCATCCAAATGCTTGTAAGGTTCTTCACTTGGAAGTCCATGATAGTTAGGAAGCATTTGAATGGTTTGTGGCTTAATTTCATAATGATGTGCTCTAAATGGAGGCAATTGGATGCATGTAGGTGTATTATACTCATTAGGCACATAATGGTCTCTTAAGGCAAGAGGTGGATTAGCTACTTGAGGTGCAACATGAACACCTTGGTTTTGAATTCCTTGACTGTTGATGGGAGGTTGTGGAGCATACATTGGCCTTGGCATTCCATATGGAACTTGGCCTTGTTGTTGTGGTGGTTGGTGAATGAATGGCCTAGGCATGCCTAATAGTTCTTGTATGTTCTCATTGTGCACATTGGGATGAAGGATACCTTGTTGGTCTGTGTGACCAAGGTCCTCAACATGATGATCATTATGGTCATCCATTGAAAGATTTGCTCTATTTGAACTTCCTCTTCCCCTAGGATTTCTAATGATAGATTCTAGATATAAATTAAGAGGGACAAGAGTTGGTCTCAATGAACGTCGTCCATGCATGCACAATGCGAAACACAACAAATACAAAGAATAACAAACACTATGCCTTCACAACAATGCAATTAGACTTCTTTCACAAACATTTAATTCATACTCCCATACTTGAACTAAGGGATTGAGTAAAGAAAATCTCACAAAGGTCCTTTAACATTTCAATTCCAAATTTAAAGCTTAGCTTAACAATTTTAAATTTTTTAGCCTTTTGCTTTCTTTGCTTGCTTGAATTGAATGCTTGATGGCTCCTTTGCTTGCTTCCTCTCCAACAATGCACCTAGTTAAGTAATCAACACAATAACTAACCAAAAAAATAAATAAATAAATAAAGTAAAGACACGATCAAAAGAGTACTAATCTTAATCAATTCCACAAATTCGACGTTGCCAAATCTAACCGTTAATCCTCGGTAACGACGCCAAAATTTGATGACGGTCGTTCCTTGTACGCCAAAATTAATGTAGTGAATGTGCGGTTCAAGAAACGCTTTTTATGTCAAATTTAAATTTATAAAAATCACTACCAACACTACTACTAACGTAACAAGAGTGAGTAGGGATCATCCCAAGGGATTGTGGGGATCGAGCAATGTTGTGGAATCACAATTAGGGCTAGTAGGTCGAGTGATCAAACAATTGGTTGGTTGGTTGATTAAAGAGTAACTAAATTAAATTAAGTGATAGCAAAAGAATGCAATTAAGAGTAAGTAAGAGAGAGAGATCTTGGGGTTTAGAGATCACCACCAAGCAATGCATTTCTATATCATTGACAAGTGATTAATGAGGGCAAATGGTGTGTTGCAATATTGGTGTGTGTGTGTGTGTGTTTGGTTAATTCAACAGATTTGTTTCAACTTTTTATTTATCAATCTTTGAAGGAGGAGCTATATGCTCGAGAGTCCATTCTTCGGGGAAGGTGACTTCACTCCATGTTATGGTTCTTCGGACGTAAGTTTGCGAATTTTCATCAGTGGCATGGAGTAGGGTATAATAAAACAAAAAAGTATAATTGTCATCACCTTATATATATTTTAAGGTGATAAACGCTAAAACTTTAGTCTAAAAAAGTACCATGAAAATCATTTTATGACTTTTTAAAGGTTTTATACAATTAACAAATAAAAGATAAAACAAGTAGAGTCTAATAAAACAAAAATAAAAAAGTGCTAATCTCACTATAAAAATAAAATAAAGTTAAATATCATAAATCAACGTAAGGAACATTTTGGCACCAAATTGTAGCCAGATTTTTTTATTAAAAAATTGTAAAATTATGGACAGTCTGATTGCCAACTCAAACACATCAAATAAATTTTTATTAATAATTTGTTTGCTAATAGAATAAAAATATTTTTATTAATAACAACTAAGGCATTTATGTCTCCATATGCTAAAGCTTTTAAATTTGTTATAGTAACCTTGTAACAGTGGTAGCTAGTTTTCTCTGTTATTTACAATTTTTCTTCGAAAATTTTGTTTACAACTTTATGTAAAAGACATGAATTATTCAAAAAAAAATATTAAATATATATTTTCCTCTTTGAGGTATGATCGATGTTCTAAAGCTAAAAACAGAGTTTTGAATCTTGGATGAAGCACAATTTTTCTACACAAACTATCCATCTACAAAATAAATCCAATGTCATATGATGATTTTATCAAACCATATATTTAAACAAAAGAGTGTTAGGATGCGTCTCAAATTCCTGAAGGATATAAGTTGTTCTGAAAAAGTTCAACTGGTCTCACTTTCTTGGTTGGGAGTTCTGAAGATGCTAGAAAAGTCTGAAGGGTCACATTATTTGGGACCGATTGCATTTGCCTAATGAGTTGCGGATATAGTTTCTTAAATAAAAGATGTTATTTCCAAGAGGCTGTACATTTGTGGAGGAAGATGTTTCTGATCATTAGGTTTCTCTACAGTTGTCAATTCTCTTCTTGATTCATAGTAGTGAAAATTATCTCCGTGGCTCTAGTTTTAGGTGAACTACATAAATATTGTGTATTGTGCTTCACTGATATAGCATGATGTGATGTGATGTGATGATATTCTTTCGTTGTGCTTGAATGCAAAGGGATTTAATTTACAATAACGGGCATCAAAGCTAGTTGGACGGAGTTTCCTAACATAGAACATAAATTTTTTTACAACCAAAAAGATTATTCATTTGCAAGTAAAACACCCAATTTATTATAATGAACACCAGATATAACATTTGGCATCTCATCACTGAATTGCATAGTTTTACAAAATACATAACAAACCCAAGCTTTCAGGCTCAAACACACAAGAAAACATGAAAATTACTTGTAATCAAACACACAGACACAAGTTTGTGTTGCCTTAACCACTTTCACTAAGCTTTAAGGACAACACATAACATCCATTATTATCAATGCAAATGTCATTATTATTAATGATTAAAAGAGTACTAAAGCTCATGGTCATTGTGAAAAATTTATCCTCACTTGCCGAGATATGCTCCAATTGAAGTAAGATATTTGTCAGACCTTCCATGGAATCCGATGATCTTGTCACAAGTACTTGATATGGATCGAAATTTCTCTCCCTCTTCCGTGCCAAATGGTCCAATCATTCTTTTGTTGCTTTGAAATCCAAGGGACCGGATAACAATCTTCTTATCTACTTCTCCAAAGGACCCCGAAATTGCAATCAAATATTCATCCGAGTCTAATGTGACCTAAATAAGTTGTATTGGTAAAGAAAAGTATGTGTAAGCATGCATGGCATTCATATTTGCACAAATGAAAGCATGAGCATTAAAACCTTCAACAAAAAATAGAGATTTTTGTTGTTATTATTATTATTATTATTATTATTATTATTATGTATTAAATGGCAAATTATAACAAACTTCAACTTTTGTGCCAGATTAACTACCATGCTTGGTGGACCACTAGGACGGCCAATATATATATGTATCTTTTTAGATGTTTTGTTCTCTAGCTAGCTAGTTTTTAAAAAACATGAGAGGCATGACAAATATAAAATCAAATGAATTTGTGGATATATGAGTCACAAATTTAAAAATTATTATAAATGTACACACACACACACACACACACACACACATATATATATATTACCTTAGTTTCTTGTCCGCCATCAGTACCATGCTTTTCGCCCAATAGTGCTCTTCCTTCAATATCATAGACAACTTGGATGGAATCAATTAGCCATCCGGAGTGTATAATTATTTCCCTTATCGTGCTATAGATTTTGTCTTCCCACTGTTTTCCACTGGTAGTTCCAAACGGACCAACACTAGGTATTGTAATTTGGAATGGCTTAATGTGTACTCCAATATTATCCATACGTTCACCCACCCTTCCAAAGAATCCAACAATCTTGCCAGCAGTTAACGGGGTTATAAAACGACTTCCTTCTTCTTTTCCATATGGTCCGTATTGCTTTATATTGCTTTGTATTGTAATAGATTTCACAACAAGATAACTATTTTTAAAGTATCCACAGTAACCCGATATTGAAACGAGATACTCGGTTGGATAGTTTAATTTCACCTGTAATATTTCAATAAAAAAGAATAAACTTAGATATTGTGACAAAGCGATGGATAAAAATAATATAAAAAAATGACAAAAAAAACCGTAGCGTTCACAATGAAGATCAACAAAAAGATTTCATATGCAAATAAATAGAGATTACAAGTTTTTAGTTCCACAATAGTTTGTCTATCCCAAACTCAATTTTGTCTTTCAATGTTTTCTCCTGCCACACTACAAAACCTAGTTAAAATAGAGACTAGAATCCGGGTCCACAAGCCACCAGACAAAAATGGGCCAAAATTTTTTTTTCTGAGAGGCAAAGCCTAATAATCGGATCAAAATCAGGTTACAACAGATCTCAGGCGAAAACAAAATTTGGATAAAAAATTTAGTGGTTACTGGTTAGTATATCAAGATATGTATATAAAGTTGTATGTTTCATAATGTGGATTGTGGAGTTTTAATATTTGTATTTATCATTCATATGCAATGACAAAACCATTAGATTTCATTTTAAGAAAATTTTGATTTATTGAGAAAGTTTTGTAAACTTATGTTATTATCCTGGTTTTTTTTTTTTTTTTGATAAGTTACATGCAATTCAAATCATAAAATAATAATTTTACAAAATTTTCGTGCAAAATTTTCATGCTAACCAAATTGGCGTTAAAAACTTAATTTTCTTTTACTTCGCTATCTTTTACATTCACTTTCCACCACTAGTTTCATCCAAACCAAACTAGTGGTGGAGATGAATTTGAATACTAAAAGAGAAAAAAAAGATAAAAGTTAAGACATATTTTAGTAATTAAATATTATAGGGAGACATTAGTGTGATATGAAAGTGACTAGACGATTTGAAACCTTGAAATTCTAATGTGGCTTAATTATTAGATTTTTTTCAATCGTTTTAGTCATTGAGTTTAAATTTCTTTTTCTTCTTTCTATTTTCTTTCTTCATATACACAAAATAATGAGATGATATTTTGTCTTGTTACCTAATTTTTACAAAACCTGAGAAGCATGGCAAATATATGTAGAATCAAAACTTTTGCATGAGTGGCAAGTTTGAAAATCAAATTGCATATATATATATATATATATATATATATATATATATATATATATATTACCGAGTTTGGTGTTCGGTAGAAACCACCATTTATTTTTCCGGATACTTCCTTTCCTTCGTTATCGTAGACAACTTTGATGGCAGAAAATTCTCCATCGGTAGTATATATAATTAATTCCCTTATTGTGCTGTATTTTCCATCATCCCAATTGCCTCCTGGTGCACCATAGGGCCCGAAAGAAACTGTCTGCCCAGTCTCCATGGAGTCCAAACTGTAGCTAAGTTTAGTACTTGAAACTTGCATGAGAAAATAGTTAGATCAAAAATGCATATATATCTATATATATATATAGATAGATAGATAGATAGATAGATATGTGAGGGTCTATGTGTGCACACAAGTATGCAATTAAAGAAAAAGTAGAAAGGCAAATTCGTTGCCGATGAATATGAATCCTTAATTAATGAACTAGTTGAATGCAGAGTGAAGTATTAATTAAGGATTAGAAATACTTACATACCAAAAAAGAAGAGATGGCAAACAGTGAAATACTCGGAGAAAGACCTGTCCAGAGATGATCAAAATGGAGATTAGCAGCTACTAGGAAAAGAAGACTTGAAATAAAAAGGCAGATGGCTTGGGTATATATATATAGCCAATGGACCCAGCAATTACGAGTTTAAAATAGTACCCTGTTCAAAAATATATATATATTCATTTCTTTTTAATCCTAACCCATATATATATATATATATATATATATATATATATATATATAGGGTTTCACCTACCTTTTAATGCTAACCCATATATAAATATAATTTTTTTTCCACTCAAATTATCATTTGGGAAGAGAGTTTGTACTAGCTAAGGTTGCGTCTATTAACGAGAAACGTTTTTTATTTTCTGTTGTCAACCTCTAAAAAGGCAAAATGAAAACAAAAATCGTGTTCAATAAAATGTTTTTGTTTTTCTATAACAGAAAACGTTTTCAATTTTTGTGAAAAAAAGAGAAAACATCACAATGATGTTTCTTATGTTTTCGACACTGTAGCAGAGAAATGCTTTCACTAATGTTAATGCACAGACGCTATTCATTTTAAATAAAATTCATATTATTTGTGTTATATACTAAGTTTCATACTAAATGTTAATAAAAAAATATATTTTTAATATAGAATAAATTAAATATTGTATATTATTTTTTATTTGATAAAAATATATTTTAATATATAATATATTAAATAATAATGTAAATGATTTTTTGTGACAAAATAATTTTGGATATAAATAATAATGTTATTAAATTATGAAGCAGTAGATATTTATATTATTATATATCATATCTATATTATATTATATGTAAATATTAAATTATAATTAATTTACAATATTATAACACAATATATATTTTATTACATATAAGATATATTATTTAATATTTTTTATTCATAATAAATTATCATATGCTAAATATATTATATATCACATAATAAATGTATACATCATGCATATACATGTATTTATATACATAATTGGTGGGAATGTTTTTGTCTTGGCATATCTAATTTTGTACTTATGATATATTGGGTATTTTTAAGATTTATAATTTTAAATTAAATTTTCTAGATTTATGGCTTTTTTATATTAATGGAAGCAAGTGTCGTACTTGAGTGGTTGGGTTGCTCCCTGTATCCGAGAGTCCATGTTCATCATCTACCCTCCCCTCTAATCACTAACTCCTAAAATTTTTGCCATGAAAAAAATAAAATAGAAATGAAAAAAATAAAAAATAAAATTAAATAAAAAAATTAAAGAATATTATGTACATTTTGTAACAATTATGTTCTATTACTAAACACAATTATTGTTTTATGTTTTCAAATTTGTAGCAACAACAAGTGTTAGCAAACGTCATTTCTGTTTTCTATTTTCACTCAAGAAAACAAAATCATGTTTCTGCTTTCTTAAGATTGCAGAAACAAAAAACGAAAACGTTACTAAACACATCCTAAGCTTTTACTCATATTTTGCATACAAAGGCAATGTTAATCGAGTGCAGAACATTTAGTCTCCGTTTGTTTGGATATAAAATATTTAGAAAATATTTTTTTATTTTTTTGGTGTTTGGTTGTCCTAAAATATTTACGAAAAATAAAATATATTAAAATTTAACAAAAATAATTTATCTATAAATTTTCGATAAGTTATTTTACATGTCCCACTCGATAGATTCTGCCTCAATCTCGACGTAAACCTTTGACAAACACCGACAAAGTAAAAATAAAATAATATTTTATTTAACAAAAATATATATTTTTCAAAAAAAATGGAGCCTTAATATTAGAGTTTAGATACCTCATCCCACAAAAACCTCGGACTTTTCGTGACTCTTACCTAAAACAGTCAAATTGATTGTGTCAAACTTTAAGGGAGGTTGATCACACTTTTGAAAATAGTTTCACCCTACTAAGATAGTTTAGACAAAACCTCACTAGAGATTAAAGTAATATTTTTTTAGGTTTTTACTACATCAAATTTAGGTCAATTTAAATTCACATTGTAAGATTTGAGGTGGAACAAAGAAAATTCCGTTTTTTTTATATTTTTTAAAATTTTGAGAAACTTTAAAAAGTTTAATATTAATTTAACCCATTTCAGTGCAATTTTTTTTTTTCATAAATATTTTAATTGGGTTTCTTTTGAATTTTTACTTTTAAAATTAGAATTTTAGAGTCCGTTTAAATTTATATATGTTGAACTTTGTTATCAATTAGTTCTATGGGGTGGCACTAGGTATATAAGGCTCAAAATAGGTTGACATGCAATTAAATTTTGTTTACAAATGATTTCAGGAAAATAAAAAAAATTCATTACCAAACAAGAGAAAGAAATAGGTGTTTTAAAATTAATTAAAACAATGAGCGGTCTTTAGTAGGGCTGTTGAATGTCTGAAACAATTTACTGTATATATTTGTGATCTAATTAATTACTGGTTACAACTTTCAAAAAGAATTAATTAATAGAGAATCATATCAGTTGATTTTCTTAATATTATATTGCGGATACTCAAATAATTATGCATGTAAGACGTACATTTAAAATCATAAAGAAGGACTGGCATTTGATACTGTTGTAGATGCTACCATTTTTACAAACTAGTTTAATTATAAATAATACTAGTTAACTTGGACTTTAGCAGTTCTATAATTGTGAAGTGTTTGTTTACTCCGAAAGCCTTTTAATAATTATAACAATGATGCTAATCAGAAATTATATATTATCGAATCACTTTTTTTTTTTTTTTTCGTTAAGTCACCAAATAATACTACCTCCGTCCCATTAAATCAATCATTTTATATTTTTTCATAAAATACTCTTACAATTTTATAAAATTTCAAAGTTAATTATATATATATATATATATATATGTATAGAAATTTGAAAGATCAAGTAACTTAGTAATTTTCAAAGGTGATAATGCAATTATTATATATCATCTTAGAAAGTTCTACGTCCAAAAAGAGCACATATTATGGGACACTATTACAGGACAGAGGGTGTAATCCTAAAATTGTTGGGGTGCTTGGGAAATTGTTCAACTATTAATCACAGAGTTAGCAAAGTTATTACATTTTTTCATTCTAGTTGTAAAACACTCAAATGTTTATGTTATTATGTATTAGCGATATTATTCAATTATTGTTGGGTAAAGTGTAAAAAAATTCCTCTAAACTATTTTTGAATTTGCAAATAATTTTTTTAAAGAATATTTTGTGCATAAAACTTTCTAAACTATCACATTTAGTCGCAAAATGTCTCAATATCTTGACTATATTTTATTAAATGACCATAATGTCATTTCTAATTGAATTACACTTAATCTATTTTTCTTATTAAAATAAACTATATAAAAAAAATTATACTAATTTGATGACATATTCTTTATTAAATTTTCATAAAATTTACCTTTAATTTTTTTAATCAATTTTTAAATAAAATTCTTAAGTGGAAATTTTTATTACAATTTAAGTGATTTCTTAATTTTTAATGAATATATTGCATAAAAAAATGTATTTTTTATTTAAGTAATTTATTAATTTTTTATGAATATAATGCATGAAGAAGATGGTATTTTTATGGTAGAAAAGTTTAGTGAGTATAAATTTTTTTATTATAAATAATAAATTTTAATAATAAATTAATCATTTTAAAAAATTAGTTAGCTACTAGGAAAAGAAGGAAGAGTCGTCTTGAAATAAAAAGGGGAGATGGCATGGGTATATAGAGCCAATGGACTCAGCAATTATGAGTTTAAAAAAATACCCTGTTCAAAAAAATATATATTCATTTCTATTTTTTTCATTATTAATTAATAACCGGGTCATATTAGTTAGTTGGTCAATAAATTTTATTCATTTCAAAGTGGATATATATTTTGAGACGGAGAGAATCCTCTTTGTGCTGATAAGTTATTCACATACCTTGTTAATGTTAACCCACCACCATGCTCAAAAGGGATTCACCTACCTTGCTAATGCTAACCCACATATATATATATATATATATATATATATATATATATATATTATTTTTATTTTCTGTATATATTTGTGATCTAATTAATTAATAGTTACAACTTTCAAAAAGAATTAATCAATAGTTAATCATATCACTTGATTTTCTTAATATTATATTGTGGATACTCAAATAAATATGCATGTAAGATACACATTTAAAATTAAAAAAATTTACTATTCATTAATGTGTGTTATTTTTAATTTGTATCCTAAAACTTGACATGATCCACATTGCGCGGTAACGGCATGTGGGCTACATTGTTCAATTATTATTATACTGTATTAACAAAAGACATGTCTGTCATTATGTATTAGCGGTATTATAAAACAATAAAAAGATAAATCGACCCATGCACTCATATTCCACATCTCACTTTTTTTTTTCGCCCAGGTGGATCTCAAAAAATGAGACAGCAAATCTTTGTATTCACATGTGAACTTATTAAACCAAGACAAAACTCTTAATTGTTAAAATAAAAATAGATAATTCCAGTATATAAATATAAATAAATAAATATATATATATATACACACACTACAAGATAAGTCCAGTTCATCAGTGGTTATTGAATTTTATTCATGAAATTTTGATTGTTAAGTGTTAATATATTCATTAATGTGCCGTTAAAAGTTAAAATTTAACATAGATCTGTGCGAAAATGTCACGTGGGCAAGATTCCCTCGTCAAAGGAGAAAATCCGAATCCTTATTATAGTATCATTCACATCTGACAGTTCATTATATATGTAATATTTACATTGTTCAATTATTATTATATGGTATTAACATAATGGAGTTATCACATTTTCTTATTCTAAAATACTTGGCATGTCGTGTCATTATTATGTACTCGTATTAGCATCATTGTTCAAATATTTTATTGTATTCACTGGCCCGAGTTCTTTCGTATTCTCATAGTAAAACACTCAAATGTCTGTCATTTTGTATTAACGGCATTACTCAATTATAATATTGTATTCATAGGCTCAGTTATCACGTTTATCATGGTAAAACAATAAAAAGACAAATCGACCCATGCACTCATATTCTACACATCACAGGCGGATCTCAAAAAATGACACAGCAAATCTTTGTATTCACATATGAACTGATTAAACCAAGAAAAAACTCGCAATTGTTAAAAATAATAATAATAATAATAAGTAAATAGACAATTCTAGTATATATATATATATATAAACAAGATAAGTCCAGTTCACGGTAATGGTAATTCTGATTTTGAAGCGTTACTATATCACTGAATGGTTGTGGAAAACAACTATGGAAGTTTTTAGAATGGTGAATAGGTTGGACTTGTCTTTTAAAGTTTAAAGTTTACCAAAATAAAATTAGATAATCAACTCATAATAGAAAAATTAAAGTGCAAGTAAAGTAAAATAGAGTTAGAGTATGGCTAAACCTTAATTAGAGAAAATTATCCAACCTTAGGAAAAATCTCAGAGACTGTCACGCGGTCTTGAGTGAAACCATCCATTATAGATGAAGTGAAATACAATGGACTTCGACTCAAGCTTACACCTATATGCTATACCAAGAACCAATCGCTGAACATCTTCAGCTTTGCAACTCCCCCATCCAAACGCTCTTGACTTCAGGTTACTCCCTTGATCCATGTAGAAAGATTGCTGGTAGATCAACAATGAAGTGAAAATCAGCACGACTCCATCGGAATGGCGACGTTTACCTGCAAAACAATGGAGGTTACATCACCTCGGATGGCAGCCGAAGACCCTCCGACAATCAATTTAATGTTTAGGCTCGTATAACATAAAATTTAGGATTAATTACAACGACACCCCCTGAGGTTTGGGGTATTGACAAACATATATAAGTTAGCCATTTTTTGAATACTCACACCCTCTGTCAGAAATTTAATCCAAACAAGCCCTTAAAAGTTGTAAAAAGACGAGATTGCCTTTCAATAAAATATCAATTATTAATCTAAAATATCAATATATATATATATGACAGAATTACCCTAGGTTTCTCTCTCTACCCTCTGCTCCGAAAAAACCCAAACTCGATGATCGATGCCGCGACACCCACGCTGCAGTTCCGATCTCTGCGCCGTCACTGCTACAGTTCCGAGCTCTGTGTTGAGGACTGACAATGATGCCATCGAGCCGTTACAGGAATCACGAATCGTGAACCAGAAAATCGTCGCCGGAATTGCGACTAATTCCTCATTGCCGACTCGGATTCTGATTTGCCTAGCAACAGCCTTTGGCCAAGAAAAACTCCGGCATATTTTCCGACAACAACCCCTGCCCGAACCCACACAGTTATTTATTTTTAGCAAAAAGGAGACTTGGCAGGATGAAGCGACAACCAAGAATAGTGGCTATGATGGATCCGGGGAGAATGGGCTAGCGGTGAGTTCTGGGAAGATGAACTCGGCCTCGGTTATAGAGATCTCGGTCGGTGGAGAGCTTAACTGTGGATGGCTCGGCTGTGGAGGACTCGCGGTGGCTGGTGAGGGCTCGGCCATTATGAAGACGACCTCGGCTGTGGGGGACAGGAATACGGCCTCGGTTGTGGGCGATGGGCTAATAGCACTAAACGCCAATGGATAGCTTAGCTGGATGGAATTGCCGGCAGTTGGCTCGGTTGACTTCGGAACGGTGGTGATGGGCGCGGCTAACTAACAGTGGCAGTGATAGGCGCTGACCCGTCCGAGTTGGACTCGGTGGTGGCAGAGGTCCGAGTTGGACTTGGTTGGGTTCAACGGCTATGCTTAGAAGGATCATTGGCAGAGAGCTCGGAAGGTGGAAAGATAGGGATGGCAGATAGCTCGGGTTCAATTGGTTGGGTTTTAGTTTTTAATGGGTTCAATTAGCTGGATTTTTTGTGGGTTTTTCATGGGTCAAGTGATGGGTTTTGGTTGTGGTGGCAGAGATTGCAGTGGTGGGTAGACAGAGAAAAGATAGGAGGGCAGTATTGGCGGTGGCGGTGATACGGTTGGGTTCAATGGCTGCCTCTGCTATATGTTTTGTATGTATGTATATATGTATATACATGTGTGTAATTTTGAATTGTTGAGTTTGTGTGATGGTGGTGGAACAATGAAGAAGATGGTGGTTGTGGAGGTTGCGGTGGTGGTAACCGGTGAGTGATGGTTGTGTATATTGGCTGAGGCTATTTTGGTTATTTTTATTGGACCAAGAGGGGGGTGAATTGGTTAAAACCTTTTCTTATATAAACTTAACAGCAATCAAAACAAGTAAGCAATAGGTAGTGCAACAGTATTTACAAGGAAACCCTTTCAATTAGGGAAAACCTTAGTTCTTGGCCTATGCTAATTCAATCATCCACTAGCTGTAAGTAAGCTGTTACACACACAGCTGTCTCACTCTCTACACACACCCTTGTCACAAAAGTAGACACTAGTTTTCACACACTCTACTCACACACTAGCTCAAAACAGTGTAAACACACAATCCCCCCGTCCTAGGCAACCCTGCCTGGACCAAACAAGCTCTCAAAACTCACCAAATACACCATAGCAGATGTAAAACAATATTAACAAGTCCTTCCTACAATTGAAATAGGTCAGACAGCTCAAAACTCCAAGATACAACCTCAAAACCTAAATATCCTGCAGTTAGGGTTTGAGGGGTAAAATAGGAATTTCCTCTCGAGATAAACTCAACAGCACCTTATACAATCTTCATTCACTGTAGTACTCATGATCATAGCTTTAAACAATGAAGTATAGCATAAGAATATCACAAAGTTCATTACAGTCCTTGTTTCAGCAAAACACAGCTTAAGCCTTAGGGTTTGAATACTGAAAATTACAGCTAACCAAATTTATGTCACAAGGCCAACTTCAACAGTCTTGATTTATCAAAATATACTTGCTAGCAGATTAAAAACTCATGAAATAGCAAGGCATAATCAATCAGTGCTTGAATCCAAGAATAAACTAGTAAATTAAGCATAACAGGTGAGCTCTCTGTCCAAATTTGATTTCAGCATGTTTTCAACAAAACTTTGTACTGAGCAAGTGTAAAAAGATGAATTATACCTGTGTCAACCCTCAGAATAGACCACACCACCTTGGAACTCAAAAACACTACTTAGTCCAGCCCTTGTAGCAGTAAAAATAATAGCAGCAACATCTCCTCAGTTAATACACTAACAAGGCTTGAATCAGTGAGTTTTCCTAGCATGAATCATCTTTAAAACACTCAGAAAAACAAGTTCATTCAATACTCTCGAGAGAATAATAGCTGCAGCTCAATTTTTTTTTTTTTTTTAACAATTCTCATAAGGCTTGAAACCCTAAAAGCTCTATAACAGCATATATATAGTAAGGCTGAGTACACAAAGCTTCATACACTTAGAGCATACACTTGTCACCTTCAGCCAATGACTGATAGAGCTTAGATCAGATATTTTCAGGAGAGAGAACCAATCACAACAAGCCACTTCAGCTATTTTGTCACATTGCACACCAGAAATCATACACACACAATACACTGCTGTAATTTGCATTTTCCTCCAGACTTATCCTCCAAGAAATGTAATATTCTTGCATATACCAGCTCTCTAGGACCACTGAGGCGTGTCACATTCTTGAGCATATCTGGAAAAGACCATAATGCCCTCAAAACATATTTAACTCTTCTTAGCATTGTGACAGACCTGAGACTGTATTCCTCACAATTCAGGTCCAATCAAGACAGTTTAGTGCAATGCAGCTACCTAAACATACGCATATATATGTAATACAACTAAGAAAAGACAATGCTGCCCCTGAGAACACTTGTAGTAACTTTTCAAAAGCTGAACCTCAATTAATTCAGCAAATTTAGCTAAAACAGGTAATAACACTGAGATACACATAATGAGGCCAATGAGAAGAATATAGCACTAGTAAGGAGATGACTATACTACCCTTGTATCTTATTTCAAACACTAATAAAGAAGAGTAAACCCTTTAAAACCACTGAAAAATAGGTTATTGACATTAAATAGGCAAACACTGCTTAGGGACCTTAGGACCAACAATCTCCCCCTTTTACCTTTAATGACAAAAACATTAACATGAAATAAGATCTCAGTGAACCACAGTCGACCATAGCAAGCATAGTAAAAACAACACCAAATAAAAGGAATAGCTAAAAAGCTACCCTTATTTCAGCCCATTCTCCCTCTTTTTGACATTGAAGGACAAAAGGTGAGAAGAACCAACAATGATAAACTTAGAAAGGTGGTTGGATAACCCTGAGAAGAGCTCTAAGGGTTGAAAATCTCTGAGGGAGAAGAGGTTTGGTCATGATATCTGCTATCGGTGGCTAAATAAGTGATGTCAATGAGACCTTTTTGGACTTTGTCTCTAAGAAAGTGATACCTGATATCAATATGTTTGCTCTTCCAGTAAAGTGTGGGATTCTTGCTGATTGCAATGGCACTTTGATTATCACAATAGAGCTTAGGAGGACCTAAAAATTGAAGTCCAAGGTCAGTCAGAGTAGTTGTCATCCAAAACAGTTGTGATTCAGCTTGAGAAACAGCTATACACTCAGCTTCTGAAGTAGAGAGGGAGACAGTATCCTGCTTCTTACTCAACCATGAGACAACATTTGAGCCAAGGAGATAACAGCAACCTGAAGTACTTTTTCTGTCAGGTAGGTATCTACCCCAATTAGCATCTGAAAAGGCTGTAATAGACAATGTAGGGGAGAAAATGTAGTGCAAACCATAGGAGATAGTTCCCTTGACATATCTAAGAATCCTTTTGGCAGCTTGAAGATGAGAAGATCTTGGATTGCTTTGAAATCTAGCCACCAAACCAACAGAATACATTATATCAGGTCTTAAAGTTGTGAGATACAATAGACTTCCAATGATAGACCTATAAAGAGTGGAGGGGACAGGCTCTGTGGTACACTTAAGAGATAATTTGGTATTAGGACATAGTAGTGTGGACACAGTCTTATAATCATCCATATTGAATTTTTTAAGTAGCTCAGAAGCATACTTATGTTGAGAAATGAAAATCCCTGTGGATATTTGATTGATTTGAAGACCTAAGAAGTATCTAGAAGTTCCCAAAAGTGACATTTCAAATTTGGTTTTCATTAGATTGGCAAATTCTGATGCTAATAAAGTGTATGAGCCACAAAATATGATGTCATCCACATAAATCTAAAGAATGAGAAACCGGTCTTGATGGATTTTTACATAAAGAGTGCTATCAACCTTCCCTCTGTGAAAACCTTATTCAACCAAGAATTGATGTAGCTTTTCATACCAAGCTCTGGGAGCTTGTTCGAGACCATACAAAGCCTTATTAAGCTTGAATACATAAGAGGGATACTTGGGATCGTCAAAGCCTTCAGGTTGTTTCAAGTAGACTTCTTCTTTTAAATCTCCATTCAAGAAGGCAGACTTAACATCCATTTGATAAACTTTTACTTGTTTGTGGCAGGCAAAGGACAAGAGCATCCTAATAGATTCCATTCTAGCAACTGGTGTAAAAGTTTCATCATAATCAATACCTGCTTGTTGAGAGTAACCTTTGCAAACCAGTCTTACTTGTTTCTAATAACAGACCCTTTCTTATCCAACTTGTTCCTGTAAATCCACTTGGAACCAATGACATTCTTAGCTACAGGTCTAGGAATTAAAGTCCAAGTATCATTTTTGTGAATCTGGTCAAGTATTTCTTGCATCGCCACTATCCAATCTTCACTTTTCTGTGCTTCATTATAAGACTTTGGTTCAATTGAGGATAACATAGCAAAATGATTGTACTATTCTCCATCTTTAGCTTCTAATTCAATCAGCCTTTTCTTGTGCCTTGTTTGAACACCAGCCTGAGGTGATCCAATGATGTTTTCAGCTTGAACTTGTTTTTGTAACTCTGGAAAAGTAATCTCCCTTTGATTATCAGACCCTGAAGTGGATTGAATGGTTTCATTTAGACCTTGAATTGAAAAAGAAGGACTGGCTTTTGTTAATCCTGGTATAGAACAATTGTCATTACTGATACTGGACTGATGACTTTCATCAAATTTAACATGAATTGATTCAACAACTTTGGAAGATCTGAGATTTTAACATCTAAAAGCCTTGCTTTTGATAGAGTAACCCAAGAATATCCCTTCATCAGTTTTAGAGTCAAATTTCCCCAAGTTGTCTATATGATTGAGAATAAAACATCTGCTGCCAAACACCTTGAAGTAATGGACTGTTGCAGGCCTTCCATACCATAAATTATAAGGAGTTTTAGTTGAATTTGGTCTGAGAAGCACCCTATTGATGATATACACTGCAGTACTTACAGCTACTGCCCAAAATCCCTTAGCAAGACCCTTTTCAAGCAACGTAGTTCTCCCAATTTCTTAAACAGTCTTATTCTTTCTTTCCACAACCCCATTTTGCTGAGGAGTAACTAAAGTTGAAAACTTTTTCTTGATACCCTTTACATCACAATAGCTTTCAAATTCTCTCATTGTAAATTCAGAGCCAAGTTTTTTTTATAGTGTAGCCCTTTTCATTTTCAACTAGATTTACAAACTTGATAAAGTGAGAAATAGCTTCAGATTTTTCTTTCAAGAAGTAAACCCACATCATTCTACTGAAATCATCAATAATGAGAAGCATAAAGTATTTACTTCCACCAATACTAGTAGTTCTAGTAGGGCCACAGAGATTCATGTGTATCAAATCAAGAGCTTTGGAAGTGTTGATTTCTTTGGAGGGGAATGAAACTTTAGTCTATTTTCCTTGTTGACAGGCTTTGCAAAGATGATTATTACTGAAGTTTAGATCAGGTAAGCCTTTCACAACTTTTAGCTTCTGGATTTTGGATAGATTTTTTGAATGAAGATGACCTAATCTCTTGTGCCATAATATAGCTTCATCAAAAGTGGTTAAATTGCATTGAGTAGCTTCTTCAGTAACAATGTAGACAATTCCAGAGGATTTACAAGCTAAGAATAGAACCTTGTCAGATTCAATGTCAACCTCATTGCATTTTTCTTTGTCAAAGTACACATTCTTTCCATTGTCACACAATTGGCTGACACTTAAGAGATTATGTTTGAGGCCTTCAATAAGTAAAACTTCTTTAATCTCAGGCAGTTTTTCAGTTTTGCATATAGTACCAATGCCTATAATTTTTGCTTTTTGATTATCTCCAAAGATCACATTTCCACCATCAAAATTCTTCAGAGAAACAAACTTGGAACCATCACCTATCATGTGTTTAGAGCAGCCATTGTCAACATACCATTTATCATAAGAGTTACCTGCCTTGAAGGCTGTATACACCAACATACTCACTGATTCATCTTATTGGGCATCCACATCATCTTGGACTTCACAAGAGATCCTTTGCTTTTGACCTTCTAAACTTGAGTCAAGTCAGATTTCTTCACATACATTTTGGTAACTTTGAAGTTTCTGATGGATGATGTAACAAAATCACTTCCATTCAACCTTAAGCTATTGTAGGTGTTGTCAAGTATATCACACCTTGATCTCATTGGTTTTACAATTGGAAACTTTGCATACACCTCATCAGTGGTGGCCTTAACAAATATAGAGTGGTTTTGTTTAACTTTGGTTGCAGTGTTACAGATGTAACCAATTCCAATCTTCCTAATTTGCTTTGTGGATTGCTTCCAAATCTCAGTCATTTTCATAGACCTTTCTTCAAGAATTAGTGAGAGTTCTTTTCTACATCTTTTTGTAGACCATTCAGTATAGGATTGAGACTTCATTAGACTTAAGAAGATAAAAGAAACTGAACACAAGGTTGACAACTTAAGCTTGAAGTGTTTAGCAAGAAGTTGTTTGGATTTTTGCAATTCAGAACTAAGGGCTTTCAGCTGAGACTTTTGTTGATTGCATTTCATAGCAAGTCTCTCACATTCTTCAAGTATTTCTTCAATCTCTGAGTCACTATCTTCACTATCTTCTTTAACTTCAGTTGCTGTCTGTGGTGTTTCAAGAATAGCCATAAATAAACACTCATCTTCTTTTGATTTTTTAGGTTTGTCTTCTTCTGAAACTGAATCCCAATATGAAATAAGATCCTTCCTTCCAAATATTCCCTTAAAGTTTCCCCCTTTTTTCTTCCTTTGGTTTTGTCCTTTTGAAGTTGGACAACTCGAGACATAATGGCCAGGCTTGCCACAACCATAACAAGTTAGATTTTGGGATTGATTTCTCTTCTTAAACCTGAATTTTTTGAACTTCTTTGACAGATAGGCCACTTCATACTCTTCAAGATCATCTTCTTCAGACTTTGGTTCAGATTCTTCTCTAACTTCTTTGGCTTTAAGTGCAACTTCTCTTCTTTGAATAGTTGGAACTCCAATTCTCATTTCATAGGCTGTAAGAGAAGCTTGTAGATCATCAATCTTCATTTGAGGTAAGTTTTTATCCTCAAGAATTGTAACCTTTGCATTGAATCTAGGTGTAAGAGACCTAAGTATCTTCTTGTAAACATCAGAGTCTTTAATGTCTTCACTAAGGGATTCCATGTTATTGACAATGTCATTGATCCTAAACAAATACTCAGCCACAGTTTCCCTTTCTTCCATCTTACAAGCTTTATATTGAACTTTGTAGAGCTGAATCTTGTTTTCTTTAATAACAGCCTGAAGAGAGTCCCATATTTCTTTAGCTAACTTACAATTCTTGACTCTGATGAACTCTTGTTACTTTAAAGCACAGTAAAGAACATGTTTGGCTATACCATCATTAGCCACAACAATTTTATCAGCTTCAGAGGGATTATCAGGATTAAGAATCACAATACCATGCACAGCAGCATGCCAAACATCATAAGAGTGAGACATTAAGAATGCATCCATTCTGATTTTTCATTAATCATAGTTGACACCACTAAACCCTGGAGCTTTGTTTGTAACTTGGCATTCATCCATTGCTAAGATCAACTACAGGCTTGCTAGAACCCTACATAATAGACCAAAGCTCTAATACCAATTGTTGGACCAAGAAGGGGGTGAATTGGTCAAAACCTTTTCTTATATAAACTTAACAGCAATCAAAACAAATAAGCAATAGGTAGTGCAACAGTATTTATAAGGAAACCCTCTCAATTAGGGAAAACCTTGGTTCTTAGCCTATGCCAATTCAATCATGCACTAGCTGTAAGTAAGCTATTAGACACTCAGCTATCTCACTCTCTGCACACACCCTTGTCATAGAAGTAGACACTAGTTTTCACACATTTTACTTACATACTAGCTCAAAACAGTGTAAACACACACTCCCCCTGTCCTAGAGAACCCTGCCTGGACCAAACTGGCTCTCAAAGCTCACCAAATATACTATAGTAGATGCAAAACAATATTAACAAGTCCTTCCTATAATTAAAATAGGTCAGACAGCTCAAAACTCCAAGATACAACCTCAAAACCTCAATCTACTGCAGTTAGGGTTTGAGGGGTAAAATAGGAATTTCCTCTCGAGATCAACTCAACAGCACCTTATACAATCTTCATTCACTGTAGTACTCCTGATCATAGCTTTAAACAATGAAGTATAGCATGAGAATATCATAAAGTTCATTATAGCCCTTGTTTCAGTAAAACACAGCTTAAGCCTTAAGGTTTGAATACTGAAAATTACAACTAACCAAATTTATGTCACAAGGCCAACTTCAACAGTCTTGATTCATCAAAATATACTTGCTAGTATATTAGAAACTCATGAAATAGCAAGGCATAATCAATCAGTGCTTAAATCTAAGAATAAACTAGTAAATTATGCATAATAGGTGAGCTTACTGTCCAAATTTGATTTCAGCATGTTTTCAACAAAACTTT